GCTCACCTGATTTTGCTTTGCCATTCTCCCATTCTTATCCCTTTAGAACACTCTCTTCTTCAGACATTAAGAAAAAGGACTTTAATTTCCTCTCCAGTTCAGTACAAGAATTGTGGAGTTCTCCTCCCTTCCCAGTTTCTGTTAGTTTTTCTCATTCTTTTTGGAAAATTATGCTGAGCTCTGACATGGGTCACCACCTGCCCTTATCGAACACGGAGTTCAATCTCTGCACAGTGAATTGCTGCGATATTCTCTCATTTACCAATACAACTCAATGTGTGAAAAATATTGACAAGGTCTAAGCGCAACCAATTCAAGCCTATTTGTTTTTCTCTCCTCTGACTTTTTCTGACTTAATAGAGAAAATTTTGGTGCCAGTTTTCGCTCATCCTCATACAGAGGAACAATGAAACAGTAAGACATGCCATCTCAAGGACGCTACGTTACACACCAGCACTTTCTAATCTTGGTCCCTTCCTGATTAATTCTGCTTAATATTGCTGCTTTCTAGTAGAACCAGATGAGATACTGAGAAACTCAGTCTCAGGCTCATATCTACAGTGTTTAATATCTACAGTGTTTAAGTAGAAACTAAAAAACTTACTATCAAGAAGTCCCAGTTTTAAAATACTAATGGGTCAGAATCAGTCTCATGAAAGGCTTAGATCCACAGATAGCTAAATGAACCCATTAATGAATTACCTTACTAAATTCACAGATATCAAAGTTGTACTGAATTCTCTGAGAAAGTCATATATATATATTTTTTATTATTTTTTTTTTTAAAGCCCTCTTTGCCAAGCTGTTATTATTTTACTATTCACCAGCAGTTAAATTTTTAGTTGGACTTTTAAAATACAATTTTGGGCTGCTAGTGATTACCCAAACCAAACCCATTTCCCATTAAAGAATCTGTGATCGTCCTTGTTTTCTGTCTCTAGGGCCAACTGTTACAAAACATCATCTCTTAGATTATTTACTCTGACACTGAACACATCAACATTCTGCACCAGGTTTTCTTGATGTATAATACATGCCTCTATCTGGCTGCAAAGTCTCTAAATTGGCAGACTGTTTGCATTTTAATGAAAGTAGATTATAAATAATTTGCAATATAGTACTAATCATTTTTACACTGCAATAATTAATTTTGTAATTTGCCATAAATTATTCCCTCTGAATCAAATATATGTGTGTGCATGTGTGTTTGTGTAAATATATATATATATATATACACACACACACACAATAAATATACAACTAAAATTTTGGAGAAATACTTTAGCAACTGATCCAAGTTAGGCAATTTTAGACACTGTTAATGAATATGATTAATTTACAGAGACTGCCTTTACTAAGGTACACCATGCTTCAATTATAACTAATTAGAACTTGCTTATACTGAAACTAAGTTGCTAGACTATTTTCTAGGCTTCCCATTTACAGCTCGAACAAGGACATTAATTAAGATAAAACTGAAATAATTTGGACTTATTTTGAGAATCACAATAGGAATTGAAAAAAAAAAAAACCAAACCAACCAATTTTCATAATTAAGTACTACCACAAAAGTCCCATGATATTTCCCATAAGCTTCTCAGGTTGTAAAACCACTAGTTGAATAGGAGCACACAGATGTAGAAAGAAAATGCCTGCGGGACTGAATGAACTTTACACAGCAGACGTACAAATTTCAGAATGCCGCACTGAAATGAAGACAGAGGCACCTATAGACTCCATTGTATGCATGGGGTTTTTGTTGGTCATACAAGTCCAAAATTATTCATATAATATAATGAAAGATGTTCTCCATCTAGAATTTCTCCATCTAGACAACCTATAAGAGGTCAAAAAACCTCTTTATTGATGGACAAAGATCCTTTTGCAAATTAATCTTAACATAGCTATCGAATAATCCGCTCCAATAATCAAACATTACGCTTAATTAATGTAACACTCATGTTCAAAGACAGATGAATAAAGATTCTCTACACATTGGCTCGCAAACCCAATTCCTCTACCGCTTCCCCATTGCCAAGAATGGTCAAACACAGGTTCTGGCTACGTTATAGACTTCACTGTTGACAGACGCTTCAAAATGCAAAACCTGGCAAACACAGATTATAAACTTCAGCTGCTAATAGAACTATTCACAGTGGTTTGAGGAAGGGATTCTCAAAGGGATTTAAAGGAGTTAAAATCATATTTATTTGGAACTTTTAAAAATACATTCAGTTCACTTTCTTTGTATGTTCCAAACTCTCAGGCTTGTCCTTCAACCATATGAGGGAGAAGCTTCTCACATTCCATTCTGTATAAGCCAATTATACATCAGATGTTTATCTGTATTTTTTTTTTTAACAACAACTTTTAAGCCAAGGTGACAAAAGAATCCTCAGAGCCAAGAGGAAAGTTAAGTGAACTAGGAAGGAGAAAAACAAGACGTCACTGACATGGATCTCAGCATTGCTGAATGCATTTCATATTTTTGAGAAGTTGATTATCTACAGTGATGTCAGTGTACCTGCCTCCTAGACAAAACCAAGATGTGCAGTGCTCACTGGCACCAGCTGAGAAGCAAGGAAAAGTCTGGGATTGCTGTCTGCAGGGTAGCATGAAAACAGAAATGATGTGGTTTTCTTTTATCACTTATTTCTATGCTTTTAAAAACCAGAAAGCACAGGTAAAGTCCTGCTCTAATTTAACCTGTACAAATTTTATGTTTGCTAGTAAAGACTGGGAATTACTACTACTCAAAGCCAACATTTCATTAGTATTAATATGGAAAGTGTGAGTAACACATACAAAGGATAATTGCTTTCTCTACTAAAACCAGCCCGGAGCATTGTGCCGGTCCAGAAGGAAAAATGACAACAATTACACAATCAGCAGCCAATCCCAGTGCAACAGGTGACATTTCTGTATTAAATAAAGACACACAGAGATTTTAAAAGTTTGGTTTTATTATTGTAGAGTGAATGCATTATCTAAATAAACTTTTCCATCACTTTTACACTCTATTTTCATCATAAAGGTTTCAACAGGGAATGCCGCACAGTATTCTGCAACCTTCACACTTAAAAGGATACAGAAACATTCAATATTAAAAGGCCTTTGCAATGTGTTTCTTTTAAAAGCATTAGGTTTATAAATCCAAGTGTATACTAAAGCAGGTTTTTTTTTTTCCAGAGACTCATTAACAAACAACTCTACGTGATCTGTCAAAGAACAAGTTTGTGTGTGCTTACATTAACTCTGTAGTAACCTTATCCATGAGCACTGCTACCAAAAACAAGAGTAGGAATTGAAGAATGTTGTAGCAGTCAAGGTGAGCCAGAATTTAGCCCATTGTTAATGACAGTTAATTTTGATCAACTCTGTTGCTCACCAGTTAAAGCTTAAGGCAATTGTATACTTATTTTCCCACGCTAAAGTAACTATCTAAGCATTGTTTGTAATATATTGAACAGAAAGTATTTTACAGTGTATGTAAGAGGTGGTGAGAAGAAATAAGACACATTGCAATTAAAACATTTACTCTTCTGTTTAGAGCAATGAAATTCACATTTTCAATTTGTATAAAAAACAACATTATTGAAAAGCCTAACCTTTCAAATTTTATCATAAATGCTATTTTGGATTTGAATTAAAAGGTTTATGGAGCTAAAGAGATGTCCTGAAGCTGGTGTTCCTCTAGGAAGGAGTGTAGAATATGTACCCACAAATACTCAAACACAAGGAGAATCCAACACACTATTACTTTAAGTAGACAAGCCATGAATTACATTCAAGTGAAAGACCTTCTACATGATATGATTCTTTTCACTACCGCGTACTCAACTTCAGTACCTCCAACAACTTGGTATAAAGAAAAACTTTATTTTTCATACAAGACTACTTTTCACATGCCACAGTATTCAATTTTCAAGGGCAATTTAACATCAGCATCCACTCCTCAGTGGTAAAATTTCTCAGTCATCAGTAATAAATAGAAAAGATATACCTGACATAAGAAACATAATGAAAACGAGTACTTAAATACTGAAATACTGTCACAAAAATGAGAAAAGGTGTGAACTGGTGGCATCCTTATGTATCTGGACTACAAGATGTGTTAGCATAAAAAGTATCTAATTAAAAAGCCAACATTTTGGCTTTGCACAATACTTTTTCTACCTCTTGCTAATCACACATTCAAACAACAAACAGAACAGTAACTGTGGAGACAGCGTTAGCAGTCTCCTGAATATTCTGCAGGAGCCTACCTTGCTGCTTTTGAGGTAGGATCTTCTCCCATCCTTTGACCCCATGAACCAGTCAACACAAGGTACAATTTAGTCCCTAAGGTGTGCAGGGAGTGCACACTTAAGAATAGCACGGAATAGAACAAAACCTTAATTAAAAAAAAAGTTGTTTCATTTTTGGAATGTTAGGAGACTTTGATAAGTAAATATGGTAAAGATTCCTGGTAAAGATTATGAAAATGACAATACAGTGAACTGACTTAAAATAACAATCATTTTTAACAGAAAAAATGGATTGAGGAAACATGATGTTCCAGGAAAGAACTGTGTGTTTTGTGATCTATATTTATTCTTTAAATATATTTATATTTTTATAGTACAGATTGAATCATTTATACATATAAATACAACAATAGTGAAGAACTATAAAGATTTGATTTTTAGAAGTAAATGGAATAGACTTGTTCACAGGTATAGAACTCTCCCAGCATATTGTTAAATCTGATTTCTGCTATAATTGAAGAAGTTGGAAATACTCTTGTATAATTTTATCAGAGGCTTCTTTCCCCCCTTGTGAAAGTGAAGACAATTTTAACATAAACAGTTCTTTATCTTGACTCCACACACATTTAACAACATTTGCTCAGATCATACATATCAGCTATTACAGTGATCCAGGAGAAAAATGTATTTTCACACAGTGGAACCTCAGTCTGACAGACAACCCAAATCTCTTTGTAAATATGAAGTTCTTACTCTTGTGTCACTTCCTCTTTAGGCTGTTTGAGCTCAATCAGTAACTCTTTACCAGTTTCTCCTGCTTTTGAGGCAAAGAGAATAGCTCCCTGTTTAAAGCCCAGGAGCTTCAAGCTTCTGGCATAATCTGCATATACAGCATGAATCAATTTATGTAAATGAAGCATTAAGGAAAACACAAATGAATAGCAAAAATTAAAAACTCAGAATCTTTATTTTTTTTTTCCACCTTCCTCACTCCTTTCCTCTCCCAAGCTGAAAACGCTGAACACTGCTGACAATTGTGCTAATGAAGTATTTTTTCAGCACCAATAAAGACAAAAATGTTGCTTTAACTTCTGCTACTGAATATTTATTTGCATTTATCAGGCAATATGCAGAGTGCTATAAACTCAAGCAGATACATTTCAGACACGCTAAGTACCTACCATAATACCACATCATAACTTGCAAAAGAAATTAAGAAATTGTAAGGTCATACTACAAGATTTGTTCGTTAATTAGATCTGGAGTTATCTACATGGCTTATTAGTGGGTTTTTTATTTACAAGTTGACATCTGTGATGACTCCATAAAACACAATCAGTTATTACTTAACATGCATTATTATTTACTGCATATAATACAAAAGTTAGAGCAACAGTTCAGAGTTTCCAGAACATCAGCTTAGATGTGCAGGCCGTACTGAGCAATACTTTAGATACCTTTTGAAATACTTACTACATTTTCAGCTCATCTGATCTTGGCCTATAATGTTCCTTGTTTTGACTGTTTCAAAACTGACTCCTTCATAAAGTACTTCAATCACTAAAACAGTAGGCTGGTGTATAGAGGGGTTCAAGGCAGGATTTTTTTTCCTGAGGTACAGTGATTAAAAGATAAATGAACCACTGATTTCACTACACAGTCTTCACCAATAATTTCCAAGTTCTGCAAAGAACATTTTATCATCTGTTCTTTTCTCCCCTATGTTTATTTTCTTCACTTTTAGTTTGTTTTCCAGTGACTGGCCTCACAGACCATCAGGAGCAGGTAATATTATGGATTTATGCAAATGACCCCTTTTCACTTGCTTCCCCACACTTCCTTCAAACTACACAACCTGGAAAATACAAATAGGAACTCCTACTCCTGCGCAGACTAGTTCACCTAACACTGGCTCACGTATACTCACCGCATACGAGTACACAGATGCAAAAACAAGATTTCAGAAAAAGGATATTTGTATCATCATTAACTTCAAGTGCCCCATAGTTCAGACAAGCCTCAACAAATAAAGCTGCTCTATCGAAGTATCTCATACTGTTAAATGGAAAAAATAAAAAAAGAGAATAATTTGTTAGGATGTGAAAACAGAAAAGTATTCTAGGAAACTGCATCAAAACACTTGCACACAGGCTCTCTAAAATTTTGCACCTAGGTCTGGAGTGGTAAATCTCTTCTGCACCGAGGCTTCAGAACATCACCAAGGTTAAACAGTATCACTATTTATCTGCCACTATGGCACATATTCACCCTTTATGCTTTGTAGGCCTGGAGCACTCACTACATCACACCAGCATTGAGTGCTTTCCTCATGGCAGTGAATGCTGCTACCCTACTCCCAGGCAGTCGGTAGGAACAGGTCACACAGTTCCCATGTACTGCCTCGTGCTCCCCTCGCACCCATCAGTCTGGCACTGCCCTCTCCCCAAGCTTCTTACATCCCTTTTTCTCCTTGCATGCAAGGAACTGACACTTAATGCAAGAGATCAAGGTTCAAGTTACTCAGAAATAATCACAGCTACTGTAAATTATTACTGCTTGGTCAAAGGGTGCTGGCAATCTTAAAGTCTGCAGTAAATTAAATGCCAGGATACTTACTGAAATTGCAACAAAAACATGAGCTGAAGTACACAGAAATGATGTGCTACTGAGGTTAAAGAAAAAAAAAAAGCTAAAACAGTAACAAATGTCAGAAATCAAACTGAAGACCCCTTCCCTCCCCCTTGACTTGAGAGTCACAATGCTTAAATAACAGTTATGGACAAGACAAAATACAGGCTGTGCTGTTCCATCTTTACCTGTGCAGCATCTCTGCAACTTTTGCAAAGCATCCAAGTGACAGAAGGACAAGGATGGCTTTGGACTTCTGATTGACTTGTGGAGAGCAAAGGTGATCTACCCAACGCTTTAACACATCAGCACACTCCTCTGAGTTCAAACGAACCTTGAAGAGATGGGAAAGTCAGTTATGAATTCTCAGCTGTTAACTAAAGAGAGAATTCTGCTTCTGCTTCATTTTTTTTTTTCAGTGAAACACTTTGGGCAAAGTAACAGCATCTGAAAATACCAATGGCATTATAAAAAGCATACTTATCCCTTGAATGAATACAATACAATGGAAAATTAGAAATATATAGGTATAAAAATACTCAAGTCACTCCACATTTACATGTTATTAACATTTTTACCACAAGGCTTTCTAAAACCTCAAGTATCAATAAGTTAGAAATCTTTATCTTTTACTGAAGACTTAAGGAAAAGACACGTTTATTTTTCTTAAGAGCGGGATTCATTCGTTTAGAAAATCTGAGTACAATTTTTTCCATCCTTTCTGCCAGAAATATAACAAATCTTATTTAGAGACACTGAAAGATCATCCTTACTGACTCCAGCCCATTATAATATGGAGAATTAATGCTGTGTCTAGGTACTTTTACTGTAATAATGTCTGCATATCAAAAGAGAAGTTGGTGCAAATTTATGTGGTTGGTGCTGACTCTAAAATAAGCTCAAATGGAGCTCAAAGTCACTTAATCGCCTCATTACTTATTCACTTCCAGGAGTGTTTTTTTGTAGTTTATTATTAATTCTCTACTACTGCAGCTATATGCAACTTCACAAATCACTGCTCAAAAATTAGAAAATTGAGTATTCTAAACACTTTTAGGCCTCAATACTGTTATTTGGATGACCAGGGCAGACCTATATAGTCAAAAGGCTGAACAAGAACCTGTCAGTGTCAGTCCATTGAATGGCCTGGTTTGTTATGGCTTAACACATGGAAATAACAGGTTGCCCAAGGAAGTTGTGGCTGCTCCTCCCTGGAAGTGTTCAAGGCCAGGCTGGATGAGGCTTTGAGCAACCTGGTCTAGTGGAAGGTGTCCCTGCTGATGGCAGGGGGGTTGGAACTGGATGAGCTTTAAGGTCCCTTCTAACCCAAACCATTCTATATGATTCTGTGAACTGATGATGATATTTCAAATTGATGTTTCAGTTTTTTAACTCTGGAGAACTTTAGAACCCTCATCAGCCTTCACATCTACATATACTGAGTAGGTAATTTATGTTAGCAAACAGAAAATTGAGAAATTACCTACCTTAGCAAGCCACGCTGCACGATTCCATTCGCCGTAAGTTTGCAAGTAGCGACAGGCATCAGCAGCCTTATCGATCAAACACAGCAACTGTACACCTTCTGGAAAATAAAAAGCACACTATATAATGAGTTAACAGAAAAAAGACTTGCTATAAAAGCGTGAGCAGATCATTCATCATCAGAAAAAGGATCTCTCTTATATCCTTCTCAGCATATGAAGATGTTGAAAACTCTAATTTCTACCACCTGGCTCTCCATATAGGCTGGGTATCAGTTATCACATCTTTTTCCTGGGCTGCAGAGCTTAGAAGGACCTCACAAAACTCTCATTTATCTTTGTCCTAAATACAAATGACAAGGAGTTCACTGGACTTCTCATCACAAAGAGATAATGACCTTTGTAAATCAAATAAATAGATTTCATAAATCATCCTTTATTTTAAGTTAATGTTGTCCATAGTATAAGTATTTTTTTCCAGGCAAATACAGACATTTGTTTTTTCTCTGAAACTCCATTCTCATATGTACTTTTCTCTTACATATACCTTGTCTTTGAATGTTTCAGTCAATCATTGTATTGTGAACAGTCTCTTGCGTTAAGCAAAATTAACCCGTGCATGTAAGAAAACACAGTTCTGAAACAAGTTCTGAACTGGAAAGGAAACTAAGTCTGTTAGTTCAACTTCACTAATAAGAAACCATTTTTTAAATAATTCTTTAATATGTAGCTTTATGTGCTCAGCCTCTTTTAGGACAAAATATTGCTAAGAGAATTACTCCAGAAATACATTTTTTAATTAAAATGAATCAAAAGAAGTTGAGCTTTATAACTAGTTACTGCTCATTTTTATGTTAACTACTGTAGATGGTGCATACTGTAACATGCAACATATCACAGAATCACAGAAAGGTTGAGGTTGGAAGGGAACATGTAAGATCTATTACAAGTTTCTGCTCTCCCACTTCCATCAGTAGCCTTAGTAAGATACTAGTTCATAAGCAAACGTGAAATTAAAGTCACATTTTACCTGCAAGCTTTCCATTGGCTATCATGTTGGTCGCTACCAGTTTAATCGTACTTTGAGATGGACCTGATGAGGTGACAGTTGTGACCAAACAAGCTTTGAGTGAATCGCAGTAATAATGTGCGTTCTCTGAACTTGTTTCTAACAATAATTGTACTGCTCTGTCAGTCTGGCAAGAGAAAAAGAAATACAACTTTGACCACAACTTACTCACTTTTAAACAAAAGCCTTATATTTTTATCCTTTTTAAGACATGGAACAAATAACAATGAAAGTTATTCTAAAACAGACCACAAAAATATCCATCAGCATAGTAATAATTAAGATTCTATTTCAATACAGCATTCTTAGTAAGAATAGCATTTAAACACCCATCATTAATACAATGTTTAATCACAGACCAACATTTCTGTAAGAGGCCAAAGAAAAAATTGATCCAGAGTATTTATTTCCTTGTTTACACACACAATGTTTTGTAGAATTATAAAAGGAAGAGAAGCATTTGAAATAAGCAGAGAATAAATAAAATTGTAAAGATGCAGAAACCAGCCAGGATCTAAAGGACTGGTTCAATACCTGATATTCTAAAACACAGGTAGAATTAATCCATTTAAAATGTTTGCTACAACTGAGCACCTAATCAGTGGGGCAGACACCTGTCTCCAAATTGAATGAATTACTGCAGGGACATCATCTCTGCCTGTTATTAAAATGAGATGCCTAACTTTGAGAGAGGTCAGTTTGGTGAGGTCAGTCAACCTGATGGCTTAGATAATTACAGAAATAATGAAAAGCCACATTAAATACATATTTAAATACCATGATTCAATAAACTGGCATTTTTTCATTTTCATAAACTGGCATTTTAAACAGACTATCTATAGATTAAGTATTTCTGGCAGCTTTTACTGGTAGCATTTGTTATCATACTAAAATGCACAGTGGCACAAAAATCAAATTTTAAGTTCGAGGTAGTAATACCAAAGCTGTTTTTAGAAGTGGATGCAACACAACTGCAGTAGCAGGGAACAACTCATGATATATACTGTACAAATGCAACAATATTCTTATCAGAATATAGAATCTGTACAGTGTCTCATTGTTCAGTACAGGTCTGCCAGAAGCTTAGGTACATCCTTTGTCACCTAAAATGAGAATACTAAGTGCACATGGAGTTATCCCAAAGATGTGAAGTTTTAGTTATTTCTGGGAAACTCAAAATGTAATTTTTCTTTTCTAGTCACAAGATGGAAAGAAAGATTTTTACAGGGTTGACATTAAAATGAAATAGTCTGAAGGAGGTAACAGCAAAGATTACCACACACCATGTCATTACACAGAGTCTGCAGTGCAATAACATATTAAGACAGTAAAAATTATGCATTGGGTGAATAAAAGTATGAAACAACACATACAAGCTAATCAAAACTTTACTGGAATAGAATAAGTACATAAAATGGACAGGGAAGAAGAATAAAAAATTCAAATATTACCCACAAACCTGGCCCAAGAGAAGAAGTTGATCAGCACATTTCCTGGTATGATCATATGTTGATCTCTTCACTTCCTGGAGATTTACCCTTTCCAGCTGGAATTTCTGCACAAAGAAGGAAGAATATCTTAAATGTAAGACTACCATAAGAAATAAAAAGCCAAGTATTTAAAAGATATGGAAGTATTTAGAGAGCTTTTGGAACACCCTCTATTTTTAAATAATAAGGAGTGATTTAATCCAGAATGGTATGTTACTAATAAAAGTGAAATATGTATAGTGAAGAGCTATAAGATAATAAGAAAGTAACAATGCTGAGCGTTTATTATGCTGATTACGTCCTTAATAAATATATTTTTTTAACTCCTTTAAATACCTGGAAGTAATAATTTTCACATAGTATGTCATAGCATATATCCAAGGGATTAACCAACTCTTCTTGAAGGATAGCTGTGTCTGTTGGTTTTGCAGTCTTCTCCTTAGATAAGCTGTGCAAATAGTGGGCAGCAATAGTCCAGAAATGCAGTTCAGATTCATCCCCATACAATCTGAGAAGATACAAATCAGGATGTGAAATAAAAATATTATACATTTAAAGTATCTTTTTATAAAGACCATGCATTCTTCTGGGCACCCTTAGTACTTTGCATTATCAATGAGAGGGACAAACTACAAGAAAAGATTAAGGAATGACATTCAGCAAGTTAAATAAGTAAGATGTTGGTCAGAAGACTGTTACACTAGCAATTAAACTCAGTGAATGTTAAGCATATAAATACAGAATCATAGAATCACAGAACGGTTTGGGTTGGAAGGGCCCTTAAAGCTCATCCAGTTCCAACCCCCCTGCCATCAGCAGGGACACCTTCCACTAGACCAGGTTGCTCAAAGCCTCATCCAACCTGGCCTTGAACACTTCCAGGGAGGAGCAGCCACAGCTTCTCTGGGCAACCTGGGACAGTGTCTCACCACCCTCACACCAAAGAATTTCTTCCTCACATCTCATCTCCATCTCCCCTCTTCCAGTTTAAAGCCATCACCCCCTTGTTCTGTCACTCCCTGCCCTTGTCAGAAGTCCCTCCCCAGCTTTCTTGTAGCCCCTTCAGGTACTGGAAGGCTGCTGTAAGATTTTCCCGAAGCCTTGTCCTCTCCAGGCTAAACAGCCCCAACTCTCT